AAAAAAAAACAAAACAAGCAATTAACAACCACACATTCTGAAATGCAGATAACACGCTTTTATTTCAATGCTACTTTCTCCAGGAGGTTCAATTACAATTAGCGATCATTTATTTCTAATTGATAAGAATTACATCAAATTGAAGTTGAGGGCATTGCTTATTGGTTTAACAACAGCTTCCTGTGTTGGTATTTGTTTTCTTTGCTGTGGTTCATTGCTTAGTTGCCCAAATTTTAGATGTAAGATAATTCTAATACTACCACACGAACACAATTATTGCACTCTAGGAACCTCCAGGAAGTGGGCACTGCTTCTGCACTGGAAAACCTGAACATCTTGTTTAAATGAGGGAATGGCCAGGAGATGTTACTTTTTCAAGCTATCCAGGCAGTCCTCATGCCAGAAGCAGTACAGAGGAGTGAACAAAGTGTTGGCCGCTTACACTTTGTTCTGACCAATAGGTAAGTCAAATGAAAATTCTGAATGTGACATAATCAGAAGGAATGTGAGACATTCAAATGAAGTTTACAGGAGGGTATTTGCAAACATCACCAATGCCTTACATTTCTGATTCAGTAAATATTTGTGCATGTATTAGGTTACATAAACAGCATTATCTCTTAGGTATAAGGGCATCTTCAGTGGGGAATCTCTCTACCCACTGAGGCATTCTTAGACATCAACACTTTGTTGAGGCACAAAGATTAGTTAAATGTTGAGCAGGGTATTCGTTACATGAGAAACTTTCTCCTACCAACAGTTAGTTCCATAAGTTGCATTGTAAAATGTCACTAAATAAATGGTACAAAACTTGATAACCGTTACTTCGGCTATATACAGTATGTACATGTCGATAAGAAATGTATACCGTTCTTAAGTCAACAATAATGACAGCAAGTCATGTGTAGCTTTGGCCTTTGTCTCATTTAGATCGATAAAAAAATACTTTTTATATTTACAGATCAGAAAGTTTAGTCCATGTGAAGCAGTTATATTTAGTCCATGTGTGAATCACTTGCAAAAAGTCAGGTGTAAATGAAAGAGCCCAGGCTCTCTAAATTGATCGAATATTTATATTCACAGTGGCAGAGTCAGATCCAAATTCATTCCCTAAGCTCAGGGTATAAAGTCCACCATCCTTCTTTTGCACGTCCATGATAATCAGAGTTGTCAGGTCGTCAGTAGTTTCAATATGGAACCTGCCTTGTTGTTCCTGATTTTGAATTTTTCTTCCACCATAGGACCATGTTATTTCAGGAGTGGGTTCTCCCGTAAAAGCACAGGCTAGTGTTAAAACCTTGCCCTCATCAATGCTGATGTCAGATGGAAGAGCTTCGATTTTAGGTGGAATTCCTTTAATGGAAGAACAAAAAGGTTTATGTTCATTTTGGATAAAAGTAGTGATGATCTTTCTACCAAATATTATTCTAGGGTACTAGATTTTTCTACCTCTACCAGTAATTTTATTGCTCACCTCTTATACCCGCTTTAAGCATTCTACTAGTTGAACTTTCCAGTTGTGTCATACTAGATTTTCCCATAGAACTGCTGGAACTCATCTCTACAAAAGACTCTTTCATGGAAGACATGCTTTGGGCAGACATGCTTGCAAATTTCATTTCAGTCATGCTGCTAGTGCTGCTACTGCTGAAACTGCTGAAGGATGCCTCTTGCTTAGAGGCAGACATTTGAACTGATTGAGAAGAGAAAATTCCTTGCATGCTTGTGTCATCACTTGTCCTCAATACTACCTCTTTTGGAGGTTCTTCAACTAGAGCTGTGGAGCGTAGCAAAGACAGTGAAACATAAATGGCATCCTGTTAATTGGTGACATCAGACACTGACTTACAGAAATGGAAAAACAAAAAGGACTTTGCCGTCGTTGAAGCATAAGCAGAAACACTGAATACCATCAAAAGCTGGCCCAATCCCTCTAAGCCAGGGATAAAGAATCCTTAAATGGTTAGCGTTACATTACGTGCAAGTATACCAGGGATCACTGGGGGGAAAAATTGATTAATGATAAAAAAAACATTTATCATACATTCTTGCAGTAGGTGTTGTAGGACCTCTGGAAACTCTTTGTTTTGAAATGTGACACATAAAACTTTGCTTAGGTTAAAAAAAGTTTGATTAAATGCACGAATCATTGCAGAATATCTGTGCCTCTTACATATCTCACCCAACAACCAAGCTTACTCTTCTGTATGCATGTAGTAAAAAGATATTGATGAATCAAAATACATTGACAAAAAAAAAAAACCCAACAATACTTACGGAGCACTGTTAAGGATGCTGTGGCAGAACATTGTCCATGGAAATTTTTGGCTTTGACTGTGTATTTTCCACTGTCAGTTATTGCTGCATTTCGAATTTCAAGAGAATATGCATTTTTGGAGCGACTTACTCTGACATTTGAAGATACAGAAATCTAAAAAAGAAAAGACATGTTTTATAAAGATCCCGAGGAAATAAAGATGGTCTTTATTCTCAAAAATAGATTTTCCTTAAAGAACTTACTGGCATGTTGTTTTTAAACCATTCGATTTCAGGTGTTGGATCTCCACTGATTTCACAAGAAAAGAGGACATTTTGTCCTTCATTTACATTTTGTGACTTGGGCTGTGTGATGAAGGCAGGGGCATCTAAGCGCTCTTGACACAGGGTCATATCAAACTGGCACTTGATGATCCCTTGGCTGGTTTTACCTATACAGGTAAGTATTCCTTCATCTCTGCGGCTAGCTTTCTTGATGGTTAAGGTGTGATCGTTGCCAGACACCCCATATCTGTAATCTTCCGAGTTAGTAAGCTCCACTCCATTCAATACCCACTTGACTTCAGAGGCATCAGCAATATTAGCTTTTAGAGTAGTTTTCTGACCTTCAGATATGCTCATCTGAGTGGAAAATGCTTTAATTTCAGCATGAGCTCTGATGTCTTCTGATGCCTGGGTCTTTTTCACAATTTCCTCATGGACAACTGATTTTTCCAGTGAGACTGCTTCTGATTTCTTGATACCTTCAGAAATGAGTGCTTTTGAAAATTCCTCCTTGAGGGATGACTTCTCATGAGATGTTGTTTCTGATTTTTGGATTTCTTCAGAAACCATGGCCTTTTTGGCTACTTCTTCTTGGGCTACTTCTTTTTTCTGAGAAGTCATTTCTGAGGTCTTTTGTATTGAAGCTTTCTTTTCCTCATCTTTAATATCTAGAAAAGAAAATTCTCTATGTTGGTATTATATTGTAATTGGAAACATCTTACTTTTTATTCTTATGTCAAATGCTTTGGCCAGAGAAAACTTGTGAAATTGAGGGTAGAAAATAGCACCTAGGTCTCTCTGGGTCTAAACTCATCAATGCTCATGCAGATTAATTTAATGGAGAATTCAGTGTAAATGTGATTCTAATCACTCAATAAACATGCCTTTCAAAGAGGACATACAGGAAATGAATTAATATATTTTAAATCAAGGTTTTAGTGCAAAGGGTTCTGTAACCTGGGATATGTGAACTTTTAAAAATATTTTAATAACTAAAATTCAATATAATTGGTTTTACTTATACTCCTATGTATTTTACTTTATGCATTTAAAAACATTATTTTAAGAAGGGGTACATAGGCTTTACCAAACTTCCACTGAAGTCCATGACACATAAAAAAGGTTAAGAATCCCTTCTTTTGTACATCAAAAGGAAAGATTCAAGTAAGGAAACTGAAAGCCCTCAAGGGAACTTTTGGCAATATTCTAGAAAACCAGTAATTGTGGCTAGCACACAATGTCCTTGACTCAATGATTACATTGTACATTTTGGGGAGCTCTGTGGCTTCTTCTTTGTGCTGTATTGTTCCTAACAGAACACCGTGTGCCAGTAGGCATTTAGAACTTTTGATAATGCCAATGATTATAGCAAAATCTTGTGGCTAGGCCTTTACAGAAATAGGATCATGGAATTTGGAAGTCAGTTCTTGTTTTAGACCAATTTTTAAAACGCTATTAAAAAAAAAGTTGTTTACATACTGATTCCCTTCGTACAGTTTTTCAAAAAAATCAACAGAAAGTGAACCTACCCTTTATTATTAATTTGCAGCTAGAGGAAACAGATCCAGCTGAATTTGTTATTGTACACGTAAAGAGTCCACTGTCTGAAGTACTGGTCTCACGTATTTCTAAGTAGAAACCTCCTTTGTCTTCAGATAGTTTGTATTTTCCTCCCTGCACAAGAGCCTGCAGGATACAAGTCATTTGATTTTAAAGTTGTGAACTAATTTGGGGATAGAATTTTTAGATAACATATAAAGGTTAAGGGAATTTTACCTTTCCATCCTTAGTCCAGGTAACAGTGGGCCAAGGCTCTCCTGTGGCTTTAATTGAAAACTTGGCAACAGTATTTGAAGATATGGTCATATCTTGCAGCCCAGTAACAATTACTGGCTTTGAAGGAACTGGTTCAGCAGGTTTCTTTTCAGTTTTCTTGGTTTCTGTTGGCTCAGACAATTTCTGAGCCGATTTCTTAATTTCTGTCAACTCAGCA